GGAAGACCAGCAATGGGATCAGGCAAATCTTCCAATGCGACTGGGAAGAGTAAGTTTGCGCAAGGCAACGTAGGTAGCTTTACCTGCATTTCTGTCCTCGTGTATGGCTTCCAGTGGACTAGTCAAGAAGATTGTCCCTGACGCTTGAGAGGTGCAATAGGAACTCAAGATCCCAGGTTCATTGAAGCAGCCATGCTGTGGGGCACCCTTGTAGACCCCCCAAACAGACCAGTTCCTCCCAAAGAGCACAAACAGTCCCACTGGGACAAACCGATAATGGAAAAAATGCCAACACAATGCTCACCAACGCTTCAGGATAGGACAAAGCTCGTCCTAGGGGTGAAGGTACCACATTCAGATTTCCTTTTAGCTGTTCCCAATTCCTTCCTGGGTACTCGACTCGACCCATAGGCCATTCGGACTGGTGTTGCTCTTCGCTCAGCCGCCACCATCCTCGCCGAACATAGGTGTATTTGCAGCAGGGCGTCGGCTGATCAATTCGGACTTCATGGTTTCGTGTGTCATACATCAGAAGGGAAGCATGCTAGACATGAGGGGGTCACTGCCAGCATAAGAGAAGTCTCGCTCTACAGTCCGTTGCCCAGCGCAACAGGAACCCCAAGTACAGAGGTGTGACGGAAGTCAAAAGCGTCCTGATGGAGTCACTATGCTACCCTGGAAGGATGGTAAGCAGATTGCCTGGGACTACACCTGTGCTGTCACATTAGCAGACACCTACTTGCCATACTCTGACACTGAAGGGGGTGGAGCCGCCAGCTACAGGGAGACCCAGAAGATCTGCAAACAGGGTCAGAAACCCTTGGACCATGGGGCAAGTGTGCTCTAAAGTTTCTCAAAGGGCTGGGTGAAAAGCTTGTCACAGAAACTAAGGATCACAGAGCAGCCAGCTTCTTCTTTCAGAGACTCAGTGTTGTGATGCAGAGGGGAAATGACTGCAGCATTCTGGGCATGCGGCCCACCGCCGGGGAGCTTGGTGAAGTATTCGAGATGTAGGCTCCTAGATGTTATTTATGTAAAACTTGCGATTTTGGATTAAATAGCAACGCTCTTCTTGCCGAATAAGGCAAGCGAAAATTTGTGTATGCAATAATTTCGCAAAAATTATTCTGAAATTAACGAAAAAAATATATTTCATTGTGTTTGTTTATTATTAAATTATTGTAAACGTATCTACAGTATATTTAGTCGGATTAGACAAAATTAAATTGCACTTGTTATAAGGTTAGGTCAGTTTTCTAAGGTTCTTTTGGTACAAAGTTATTAATTTTTACATTAACATAAATGAAAAATATATATCTTTAAACGTATAAGAGAAATTTTTAGAAGGGACTTAATTTAAAATGAGTTCTTGCTTACTGACCAATATTACCTATTCGGCACGACAAATATATATATATATATATATATATATATATATATATATATATATATATATATATATATATATAACATATATATATACAGTGGTCCCTCGCCTTTCGTAGTTCTCGGCAATCGTAAATTTCGCCAATCATAAGGGTATTTTCGTATAAACATGGACTCGCTTTTCATAGGTTGACTCGCGAATAGTAGTTTGTCCGGGACGCGTACGCACGGTGTGAGCCGGGGCAGCCTCCCTACCCAGCCAGTCTGGTATTGTTTACCAGTGAGTGAAGGTCCCCTCAAGTGCTCCTACAAAATATTTCATAATATTCCACTCATTTTAGTGCTTGCAAGTACTAAATAAGCTACCATGGCTCCAAAGAAAGCTCCTAGTGCCAAGCCTGTGGTAAAGAAGGTGAGAAATATGTACAGTGACAAAGTCTTGGGCTATTTTAGGGAAGTGTTAAAGAGATGCCAGAAACAGAGCTCTCTCCACAGTTACTTTGCGAGACAGGACTAGAGTGACTCTCAAGGTGGTCCTAGTGGCATTAAGAAAAAGAGAAGAGAAGCAACCCCAGAGAAGCAATTGGTACCTGAGGTGTTGCTGGAAGGGGATTTCCCTTCCAAACTGTAAACAATCCAATCTCTCTCCTCCTCCAGTCTCCCATACACTAAGAAGAATCTCCAATAAAGGTAAGTGTTATGCTGTCAATGTTTCATTCATCATTTCCCATTGTATTGTTTATGTACTATATGTATATTTCATGTAAAAAAAATTTTTGTTTTAATACTTCTGGGTGTCAGGAACGGATTAATTGTATTTACATTATTTCTTATGGGGAAAATTGATTCGCAAATCGTAAATTTCGTTTTTAGTAGCTCCTCCAGGAACGGATTAATTACGAAAAACGAGGGACCACTGTATATGTATGTATGTATATATATTTATTATACATATAGGGTCCACCTCTTGTGCAGTAGAGTTCCTTAACCTCGGAGAAGTAAAATGTCTTCTAGGAAGAGTCTAGAGACATATAAAATATTAATTACAAAGAAAGCCATTAGCATGCCTAGGCATTTCGGGCAGACTAATGCTATTTCTTACATTATATTGACACAGGTTATGGATCATACTGATATTAAAGTTAGGTAACTGTAGTGATTAATTACATTTACAATAGTGAGGTAGTACAAAACATAAGAATATAACAATTTGTAAATTTAGTAATGAGAATGGTTGTGTCTTGGCATGATACACAGTTTATATTATAGCTTCTATATTGGAGTATCTTAGATAAACTTAGGAATAGCTTAAGATTTATTAGGTAATAGTTATATTAGGAATTTTATGTTTACAGTCATTTGGGTGAGTGTAAGTGTAAATTTTGGGTGTGTGCATGATACGAGTAAGAGAATAGGTGGTTTTCATGTAGTTAGGTGACGGTGGGGTGTGTTAGGTGACGGTGGGGTGTTAGGTGACGATGGGGTGTGTTAGGTGACGATGGGGTGTGTTAGGTGACGGTGGGGTGTGTTAGGTGACGGTGGGGTGTGTTAGGTGACGGTGGGGTGTGTTAGGTGACGGTGGGGTGTGTTAGGTGACGGTGGGGTGTGTTAGGTGACGGTGGGGTGTGTTAGGTGACGGTGGGGTGTGTTAGGTGACGGTGGGGTGTGTTAGGGAGAAAATATGTTTCTTAACGGTAGTTTTGAAAATAGTGGTTGAGTCTGCAGTTTTAGAGTTGTCAGGTAGGGAGTTCTAGATTTTAGGCCCTTTGATGTACATTCAATTTTTTTGTATAGATTTAGCCGGACGGGAGGGATGTCAGAGATTTTTTGTGTCTGGTATTGTGTCTATGGGTCCTGTCACAACTATCAAGAAAGTGTTTTAATTCAGGGTTAATATTGGAATTTATGGTTCAGTAAATGTAGGTTGCACAGTAGTTATTGTAGATGTTCTGTACAGTAAGTTTAGATCTTTGAAGAGTGGAGAAGGGGGGGGGGATGTTGCCTGGTATTGGATTGTGATAATTCTTACTGCAGCTTTTTGTTGGGTTATTATTGGCTTTAGGTGTGTTGCTGCTGTTGATCCCCAGGCACAAATGGCATAGGTGAGGTAAGGATAGATGAGTGAATAGTATAGTGTGAGTAGGGCTGATTGTGGTATGTAGTAACATATCTTAGAGATCCCAACCGTTTTGCCATTTTGGATACTGTTTTTTTTTGTTATGTGGTGGATACGGGTGCCGAATTTCAGGTTGCTGTTAAGGTGCAGACACAGGAATTTGCCCTCATTATGTTTAGCAATAGGAGTGTTGTCAATCATTATGTTTAGTTGTACAACACCTGCTCTGTTACCAAACATTATATAGAAGGTTTTGTCAGTATTAAGTGTAAGCTTATTGGCAGTCATCCACCTGAATCCTAGAATCCACCTGAGCACTAATTTTCTCCTACCACACCCCATATTTACATATATGTATTTTTTTTTAGGTCAGGGACTATTTATTTAAAAAACACAAACATGAATACAGTATTTCGGTATATCAAAGATTATGAATCTCCTCCAGCTCCTCTGAAGCTGGACGCGAGCTAAGTATGCAGCAAGCATTTCCCCTCTGCATAGCCATGTAAAGGCCCTGGAACATGAAAGTGGCTGCCCTTGGGTCCCTGGTGGAGTCAATGAATCTGGAACCCAGTTTTAGCTCAATGCTTTCCTAGAGGAAAGCCTTGAGATGAGCTGAGGCAGGAAAGCAGATCTTAGCTTGTAAAATAAATACAGGAATGCATAGTGTAACCTCTGTATGTCTCAGTATGTGGCACCAGTTACTGGATCAGCTATGTAGTTCAACTAGACATTGCTGATGCTGTCGACCCAGTGTGGCACCGTAACCTGGGAACACAACAGACACTAAAAAAAGTTCGATCTCTCTATGTAGCTGTCTATGAGTGACCCCCGCATAATGCCAGTGTGCGGGTCACTCATACAGTGCCAGTGTGGGGGAAGGCTACTCATACAGTGCCAGTGTAGGGGAAAATCACTCGTACAGTGCCAGTTTGGGGGCCACTCATACAGTGCCAGTGTGGGGAAAGGTCACCCACTCAATGGTAACATACCACAAGAGAAGTATGCTTGCTTCACTGCCTGCTAAGAATATTTACAACAGCGACCTACTTCTCCTCATGATCAGATCTCATGCTATGCAGGTTACACTTGCTGCTGAGAACTCCTGCCACTATTTGATAGACAGCATGATCTTACTACTGGAGTTAACATAAGAAAGAAGGAACACTGCAACAGGCCTACTGGACCATACTAGACAGAGTTCCTCCTTTCTTATGTAAACTCCAGTTAACATGAGAGTTGTCGTATGCGTGTATGGAAGCGTTTTTTTCACTCGGAGGAGAAGAGATCCAGAGGGAAGAGTGAAGAAGTGGAAAGATCTGACGCTGCACTGGAGGAGTATACCTGGAGGGTGTTTCGGAGGTTAGCGCCCCCTCGGCCAGGTCCATGACCAGGCCTGTGGTGAATGTTACAAACAAGGCAGGCAAGGAAAGTGCATTCCAACACAGGCTCAACAACAAAGGTTTTGAAATTATAAGAGAAACAGGCATATACTCACTTGAAGGTTTGTGCTACTCTGGGGAGAAGTCGCAGCCTGCGTTCTCACTGCAAGGTTTACGCCACTCTGGGGAGAAGTCGCAGCCTGTGTTCTCACTGCAAGGTTTGCGCCACTCTGGGGAGAAGTCGCAGCCTGCGTTCTCACTGCAAGGTTTGCGCCACTCTGGGGAGAAGTCGCAGCCTGTGTTCTCACTGCAATATTTACGCCACTCTGGGGAGAAGTCGCAGCCTGTGTTCTCACTGCAAGGTTTGCGCCACTCTGGGGAGAAGTCGCAGCCTGCGTTCTCACTGCAATATTTACGCCACTCTGGGGAGAAGTCGAAGCCTGTGTTCTCACTGCAAGGTTTGCGCCACTCTGGGGAGAAGTAGCAGCCTGTGTTCTCACTGCAAGGTTTGCGCCACTCTGGGGAGAAGTAGCAGCCTGTGTTCTCACTGCAAGGTTTGCGCCACTCTGGGGAGAAGTAGCAGCCTGTGTTCTCACTGCAAGGTTTGCGCCACTCTGGGGAGAAGTCGCAGCCTGTGTTCTCACTGCAAGGTTTGCGCCACTCTTGGGAATGGCGTAAAAGGAGGTGAAAATAGGAATAAAGTGAACAGAGTTATTTACATGAACATAAAAGAGAGGATCAGCTTACAGTAATAGGTATACCAATGTTGACTATACAAGAAATCACTCTCCTACCTTTCAGGTGTCTTCCTGAACTGAATCATGCTAGGACTGTCCTTGACACGTTCAGGCAGTCCGCTCCACTCCTTTATTGCTGCATAATAAAACGTGTTTGAAGACTAACCGCCTAGTGTAGGTACTACAAAGTTGCGTACACTTTCCCCTAGTACCATACTGGCTGTGGTTCATAACTTTGACAAACTTGACAGAAAGACATTCTGGACAGTGTTTGTAAGCAATATTATAAACGCAATTTAACTTCAGCATATCCAGTTGTTGTAATTCATCCTGGCCGACATGTGTGTGTGTGTGTGTGTGTGTATGAATTTGTATGTGTGTGTGTGTGTGTGTGTGTGAGAGAGAGAGAGACTCAGCAATCAACATTTGCACCAATAACTCACTACAGTTGTGACCGGGTGTGGAAGTGTGAATTGCTCATTACTCTAAAATTTGTTCATGATTGCAGCCATGTATAAACGTAAGTAACCATTCTTACAGTATTCATTACCTTTGTAACTGGTGAGTTCATTACCTTTGTAACTTGTGAGTTCATTACCTTGTACCTAGTTCAGCCATCAAAACTTTGGAGCCCGGTCCCTGGACCCATTGTGTACCTCTGTAATCTGTAAATACCTTTGTAACTTGTCATGATTGTGACTAGACCTACCTGGAGTTCATTACCTTTGTAAATTGTGAGTTCATTACCTTTGTAAATTGTGAATTCATTACCTCTGTAACTTGCTCAGCTATCAAAACTTTGAGGCCCAGTCCCTTTGACTACCGCCCACTGGATGGGTATGGGGTGCATAATAAACATATTAAACTAACCGACATGCTCTCTTGAACCCAGGTCCAGGATGAATCTTAAACCCAGGTCCAGGATGAATCTTGAACCCAGGTCCAGGATGAATCTTGAACTAAGGTCCAGGATGAATCTTGAACTAAGGTCCAGGATGAATCTTGAACTAAGGTCCAGGATGAATCTTGAACTAAGGTCCAGGATGAATCTTGAACCCAGGTCCAGGATGAATCTTGAACTAAGGTCCAGGATGAATCTTGAACCCAGGTCCAGGATGAATCTTGAACTAAGGTCCAGGATGAATCTTGAACCCAGGTCCAGGATGAATCTTGAACTAAGGTCCAGGATGAATCTTGAACCCAGGTCCAGGATGAATCTTGAACTAAGGTCCAGGATGAATCTTGAACCCAGGTCCAGGATGAATCTTGAACCCAGGTCCAGGATGAATCTTGAACTAAGGTCCAGGATGAATCTTGAACTAAGGTCCAGGATGAATCTTGAACCCAGGTCCAGGATGAATCTTGAACTAAGGTCCAGGATGAATCTTGAACCCAGGTCCAGGATGAATCTTGAACCCAGGTCCAGGATGAATCTTGAACCCAGGTCCAGGATGAATCTTGAACCCAGGTCCAGGATGAATCTTGAACCCAGGTCCAGGATGAATCTTGAACCCAGGTCCATGATGAATCTCACCATCTTGTTCTGGCTGATCTGTAGTCTATCCTTCATTTTTTTTTGTTAAAGCAGAGTACCGTGAAGAACAAAAATAATTTATATGACATTGTATAAGAGCTATACATAGGTCAAGTAAGTAGACACTGTGCCTATCTTGAGAGAAACTTAGGCCTCGTACTCACTGTTCCCTATCAATTCTCCTGACATGCTTGGATCAAAGGTGATTCCCAGATATTTCATTGAAGATACTGAGGTGATGGGTTCCCCATTACACTGGACATCTAAAGTATTTACCATTTTCAGTTTACTTTTCGTACCAACGAGTATGCCTTGTGTTATCCCGAGGTGCAGCGATAGTTTGTTGTCTACTAACCATTTGCTGCAGGACTCTAGTTCTAGTGATAGTACATTACATGTATCTATATCTTGTGGGTCTTTACCTGACACTATCAGAACACCGTCGTCTGCATACAACAGAAGTTTACACTTGATACTGATGGGCATGTCATTCACATAGCATAAAAAGAGTAACGGGCCCAGAATATTACCTTGGGGAACCCCACATGCTATCGGCAGAGATTCTGACTCGGGACAACTTGTTATCCTGTTGCTCAGGTAGGACTTAAACCAGACTACAGAGCCAAGGTCGATAGCTTGTAGTTTCTTACGTAATATGTTATGGTTAACTGTATCGAAAGCCTTTTGTAAGTCTAAGGTCACCATACACATGAGATTCCCTAGCGATATTTGAGTTCTTAGGTAGTCCATCAGATTAATTAGGGAGGTGTCGGTCGAGTAAGATCTAAAACCTGATTGGTAACTATGGAGAAACAACAACAGTAAGTAGGAGAAACAAGGACAGTGAATAGGAAAAACGAGGACAGTTAATAGGATAAACAAGGACAGATAGGAGAAACAAGGACAGTAAGTAGAAGAGAACACTGAGAGTTAATAGAAGGGGACATACAACCAATGGGGGCACGTTCGAGGGCCGCGCCTCCAGACATCAGCCAGTCACAAACCAACACCTACTACGCATCCTTCAGTGACGTCATCAAAACAACTGGTAACGTCAATGGGCAACATGGCCGACGTCATCTCTGCCGCACTTACGTCGAGGTCAGGGCCTCGTGATGCAGCTGCGGCTGCGGCGACGGGTACTACAAGGTACTGCATCGCAATCCATTACGTACCCACAGCAAACAAGTGTGTATATACATACATACATACATACACACACACACACACACACACACACACACACACACACACACACACACACACACACACACACACACACACACACACACACACACATATATATAATATATATATATATATATATATATAATATATATATATATATATATATATATATATATATATATATATGATAAATTAGACACATGTGCAACTCTTGGGTATCTTTATTGAGGAAACGTTTCGCCACACAGTGGCTTCATCAGTCCATACAAAGGAGAATCTTGAAGAACAGGAGTAGAATGAGGTAAACAGTCCCTCAACCTTGAGTCGATGTGGTCAGTCCATCAATCTATCTATCTATATATATATATATATAATATATATATATATATATATATATATATATATATATATTATATATATATATATATATATATATATATATATATATATATATATATATATATATATATATATATATATATATATATATATATATGCAAAACAACCACTCTGAAAGAATAGAGAAATTCCAAGCGCTTTCGTGACTACTCACATTATCAAGGAACTAGTTCCTTGATAATGTGAGTAGTCACGAAAGCGCTTGGAATTTCTCTATTCTTTCAGAGTGGTTGTTTTGCATATTTTGAAATCACCTGTTTTACTGTGATCTTATTGCATATATATATATATATATATATATATATATATATATATATATATATATATAATATATATATAATATATATATATATATATATATATATATATATATATACTAACAATGTATGACTGATACCCTTATATCAGCCTCAGCTTCACACTGTTGCAGACCATGGAGCTGAACTCTTCTCCAGCCTGAGGGACTGACCACCTCAAAACTACTATACATCTTAGAGGCTGATGGACTGATTACATTACCTTGACAACTCCACTGATTCTGTCGCCTCTTCTGTATCCCACTGAAGAAGCCTACCGTCTGGGCGAAACGTTTCCACAATGAAGATGCCAAACTACAGCACGTCTTGCTCACCAACTTCTCGGTATCATATACCATTTACATGATTATAAGTGGTGTATGCTATGTGTGATAAGTGGTGTATGCTATGTGTGATAAGTGGTGTATGCTATGTATGAACAAATGCGCATCGTTCATAAAAAAAATGTGAACATCAAGCATAAACAAAAGGACACAAGTGTAACTAATGTGACATTTTATTGTGGCAACGTTTCTCTCTCTAGGAGCGAAACGTTGCCACAATAAAATGTCTTAGCAAAAATCCTCCTGAAAGCAGTAAGCCCTGCCATCACATAGTTTCTCCTGTTAATACTACACAAGCACATTACAGAGAGTGAACACTGAAAGACCTTCTCTAATTCAACCCTCAATAGAAATATTTATCTGACTTATTTATTTTACTACTACGACTACTACTACTACTACTACTGCTACTACTACTACTGCTACTACTGCTACTACTACTACTACTACTACTACTACTACTACTACTACTACTACTACTACTACTACCACTAGTATTACACCTCACTCTAAGCCTGTATATACCCTCTGTAATGGCTTGACGAAGCTCCTGGAGAGCGAAACGTTGCCACAATAAAATGTCACATTAGCTGCACTTGTGTCCTTTTACTTTACATATTGTCGGTAATTCTACCAAAATATATACATAAACAAAAGAAGAAAACAAGTGAATATCAAACATAAACAAAAGAAAACAAGTGAACATCAACTCGACCCATACAAACGAGGTCCTTAACGCACTAAGAACAACATAACTGAAACAAGGTACACTATGGTACACTAACAATTAAAACAAGGTACACTATGGCACAATAACAAGGTACACTATGGTACACTAACAATTGAAACAAGGTACACTATGGTACAATAACTGAAACAAGGTACACTATGGTACAATAACTGAAACAAGGTACACTATGGTACAATAACTGAAACAAGGTACACTATGGTACAATAACTGAAACAAGGTACACTATGGTACAATAACTGAAACAAGGTACACTATGGTACAATAACTGGAACAAGGTACACTATGGTACAATGGTACAATAACTGGAACAGGGCACTAACTATATGAGGCCTGTTAGGTAAGACACATATGTAACAGTTAGGTATCTTTATTTCGAAACGTTTCGCCTACACAGTAGGCTTCTTCAGTCGAGTACAGAAAAGTTGATAGAAGCAGAAGATACTTGAAGACGATGTAATCAGTCCATCACCCTTGAAGTTTTGAGGTGGTCAGTCCCTCAGTCTGGAGAAGAGTATTGTTCCATAGTCTGAAACAATAGGGTGATGGACTGATTACATCGTCTTCAAGTCTCTTCTGCTTCTATCAACTTTTCTGTACTCGACTGAAGAAGCCTACTGTGTAGGCGAAACGTTTCGAAATAGAGATACCTAACTGTTGCATATGTGTCTTACCTAACAACCTGTCGGTATTTTATACCATTTTAATATATGAGGCCTGGTCACAGACCGGGCCGCGGGGGCGTTGACCCCCGGAACTCTCTCCAGGTAAACTCCAGGTAAATATGTGTG